CCAGGAAGACCCACCCTCCTGACAGGGCCCGGGACCCTGCATACAGAGAGCGCAAGGGGCCAGGAAGACCTATCCTCCTCACAGGGCCCAGGACCCTGCATACAGAGAGCGCAGGCAGCCGGGAAAACCCACCCTTCTGACAGGGCCTGGACCCTGCGTACAGAGAGCGCAGGCAGCCGGGAAAACCCACCCTTCTGACAGGGCCCGGGACCCAGTGAACAGAGCGTGCAGGCAGCTGGGCCTTCAGCTTTAAACACCCCATTGAAGAAAGCAAGTTATGTTTGCGTAAAAGTCTCCTGACTACCGTCCCAGACAGACCGTGGTTAACCACGGCACATAGTCTGCTTGAGTGTTCAGCCTGTCGCTGGAAAAGAAGTTGGCTAGTTATGCTTTCCATGGAACATAAATTTGAGGGTTACTTATTAGTTCCCTGACACATAACCTTTACCCTCCAGAGTGTTCCTGGGAACCAGAACTGCCCTGTGTCACCTCAAGGCTTGGGAAGGAACCAAGAAGTCTGCTGGCTTGTGACTCGTCATGTGTCCTGTTGAAACCCATTCAGCCATTTCACATTTATAACTGCTCCTTATTTTATCCTAGATAAAAGCCAAAAGTGAACGTGAACCAGAAAAAGAGACTCTTAAAAAATCTTAAAGAAAAACTCTAAACAAAAACAGCGAGTGACTGGGATATCACTGCTTAAAAAAACGGCTAGTTTTTAAATTTTGATTTTTACTTTACAAGCTAACTGTCAAATGGCACAACAACATAGAATATTTATCCTAACATAGGAACAAACGTGCCATCTGTTTTTTTGAGATAGTGTCTCACTCTGTCCCCCAGGTTAGAGTGCCGTGGTGTTGTCACAGCTCATAGCAACCTCACACTCCTGGGCTCAAGTGATCCTCCTGCCTCAGCCTCCCTCCCATAGCCCACCATGACACCCACTAAGTTTTCTATTTTTTAGTAGTGATGGGGTCTTGCTCTTGCTCAGGCTGGTCTCAAACTCCAAAGCTCAAGGGATCCTCCCACCTCAACTTCCCAGAGTGCTGGGATTACAGGCCTGAGCCACTGCACCCAGCCCACCAGTGCCATTTAACACAGCTTTGTTACTCTCCTATTATGCATAATCGCTTGTGACCTTGAATGTTAATCGAGTTAGGAAATAAACGGTTAAGTTAGGTCTTTCTGCCTTTTAGTCTCTTGCTTCAGGATTTAATATGCAGCAAGTCAAACCCTCTCCAGAAGAAAAAGAAAGTAGAAGATAAAACCAGGAACAGGATTGGGGAAGAAAGGCCTGATGGGGTCTGCGCACGCTGCCCATCAGAGCAACCCCGGTCTCCCCACTGGCACAGTGAGAGTTTCACCCTCCACCTGGGACCCTTCTTGTTTCTCAAAGCACCAGGCAGGGGTGGTGGCTCCACGGCAGGTGACTGCAGTGTTTCCACCGGCGCTCTCCAGCTGCCAGCTGCAGGGGGAAACTCGACCTCGTTTACACTAACTTGCCTGTGCCTCTCTGGTGCTGCCGGGGCGACAGTCTTTGTGTCCTCAGAGCCCCATAATGTGCATTAAATATTGCTTCATTCGCTGAATAAACGCATTATCCTTATTCCCTTAACAGCAGGAATGGTAAGAATGATGTCAACAGCCAAAACAGCCGTGGGCAGGCACTGAGCACCTTCTGTGGGAAGGGGAGTCGGGTGGAGACTGCGGGTGCTGCCCATGTCCCGTCCAGGTCCAGACCCCAGAGCTGTCGCTTCTTAGCTGTGTGATCTTGGGCGAATTATTTTACCCATTCTGTGTCTCAGCTACTTCCGTACTTACCTCCTAAAGTTACTATGCAGAGTATTCCAGTTAGTATATGTTTTGACATGTTTACGACACTGCCTTGGCCACACAGTAAGTTCTGCATGAAGTTAGCTGTTTCTAGCCAGGGCTGTTCTACAGAGGTTGGGGACACTGACTCAGCTTGGTTCCTGGCACTGCCATATTAGGCAGACATTCTTCGTATCCTTTCTATCTGTGAGAGAAGTGAGGCTTAGTAAGGCTCGTGATTTGACAAGACCAAAGCTAGTGTCTTTGAGTCTGGGGAGGCTGAGCTATGCCTTGGTCTTTCCACTACACGGTGGCAAGTCTGGGTCAAGGGTTGTTCTATGCAATAAGCATCCAAACAAAACAAGAGCTAGACTCCACAGTCGAGCTTCATTGCTATTAATGTTAGCACGTTGAAGACGTAACGTGTCTGGTAGAGAAGGAACTGTGTGCACATCCCATGGCCGCCGTCAGTCATAGTAAGGACTCTGTCCCGTTCCTCCTTCCTCACTCAACAGTCAGTTGTAAAGCCTCATTTACAAGCCAGGAAACCAGGTTCAGAGGTCAAGTGGAGCCAGTAGGCGTATCCAGGTCTGGCTGACTCATTAATAAAGCGTGTCTTTGGGTCTTCCTAATCCTGGCAGACTTAGTCCTCTTATTCAATAATAAATTTACTCAAGTCAAAGAAAATTGCAGACTGCTTTCTCTTTGAAGGAAACTACCAGAGGGCACAAAGGGGCAGAGGCCCCTAAGGGCAGAAGAAGATCTGTGGACCCACCTGGGGTCTCGGGTCACAACCATTACCAAGTGCAAACCCAGAAACTGAAAGCGTGTGGAGTGGGCAAAGCGGCTGTCTTCTTATCTGCAGTTGCTTTTAAAAAGGGACACTCAATGTAGCTGTGGACACGTGTGTGTGGCCGCTCTTTCCAGCCCAGGCTGTCAGGTACATTTGTCATTTGCTCACCCTGGAGACTTCGTTAAGAATTATTTCTATGCTTGACCAACGCTAAAGGTTAAAAGCATCCGAGAGTGGGGTAAAGGGAGAGAGGGAGAGACAGAGGAGGGACAGGTAGGAAGGAAGGGTAAGAGAGGGAGAGAAAGTGAGAGAGAGAGAGAGGGACAGAGGCATTCTTTACCTAGAACAGCTATGTATTTGCCTCTGCAAAGTTGCCCCAAGCAGAGTTCCCACCCTACTTTCTGTGTAGGATCCAAGGTCATGGGGTGTGAGGTGAAAGCCCAGAGGCAGCCGTGGAGCCAGGCAGAGACTGGCTTCCCGACAGCCGCTGCTGTCTGGAGCCCAGGCAGCAGGCAGGAGTCCTGTGCCCCGCACAGGTGGGCAGGCAGCTTTCTGACTGACCGCTTCACCAAGATGGCAGCTTGTTGGCTCCCAGGATGAATGTGACAGGGCTGCTGGTGGGAGGCCCTCAGTTCCAACCTTTACCTTGCACAGACCTCTCCCCACATGGGTTTAGAGGCTAGAGGGGACTGCCAGTTAGGTTTTCTCCTTTTGGCTCTTGGAAATTTCCCTTACTTTCCTGTGAGCTCAGTTATACATCTAACATAGTGTTTATCACATATTTAACCAGAATTTCTGAGAGTTTCATAGCAGGTGTGTTTTCAGATCATCAAGTCTGCTGTGTTTCTGGAAGCGAGAGTCTGTGCTGTCTCATCACTGTCTCCCCGATGGGTGCAGGTCTCCCACCTGCAGGGGGGCTGAGTGTCACTGCACATGGTCTCTGCACCGCCCTGTCTTCCTCTAGTCCATAGTCCTATCTGTAGTCTCTGTTTTCATTATTATTTTAAGAGATGGGGTCTTGCTATGGTGCCCCGGCTGGTCTCAAATTCCCAGCCTCAAGTGATCCATCTACCGTGGCCTCCCAGAGTGGCTGGCATTACAGTTATGAGCCAGGGCACCCAGCAGGTCTGTGTCTTCACTGTAAAATGCAGGTGTCAGTAGATCATCTTTCTACCTAAAACTCTCTGAGGCTTCTCATGCGGTCAGAAGAACACCCCACTCCAGGAGGATGCACAGGACTCTGTGAGCCACTGCAGTTCACACCTGCAGCCACACACACCACACAGCTCACCTCATACCTCACAGCCCACACCGCACAGCTCACCACCTCACAACTCACCATCTCACACCTCACAGCTCACATCTCAACACCTTACAGTTCACACCTCACCTCCTCACAGCTCTCACCTCACCACCTCACAGCTTACACCTCATAGCTCACACCTCACCACCTCACACCTCATCACCTCACAGCTCACACCTCACCACCTCACAGCTCATACCTCATCACCTCACAAATCACACCTCACCACCTCACAGCTCACACCTCACCACCTCACACCTCATCACCTCACAACTCACACCTCACCACCTCACAGCTCACACCTCACCACCTCATAGCTCACACCTCACACCTCACCACCTCACAGCTCTCACCTCACCACCTCACACCTCATCACCTCACAGCTCACACCTCACCACCTCACAACTCACCACCTCACAGCTCACACCTCACCACCTTACAGCTCACACCTCACCACCTTACAGCTCACACCTCACCACCTCACAGCTCACACCTCACCACCTCACAGCTTACACCTCACCACCTCACAGCTCACACCTCACCACCTTACAGCTCACACCTCACCACCTCAACACCTCACTACCTTACAGCTCATACCTCACCACCTCACAGGTTACCCCTTGACCACTTCACATCTCACCACCTCACACTTCAACACCTCACAGCTCACAACTCACTGCTCACCATGCTGGGCCACTGTGGTCTGCACACCTCTCTACGCCCCTTCTATGCCGACTTCTTACCGCCATGTTCCTTCCCCTTATCTGGAATGTTTTCATCTGCTCCAACAGAGGATATGACCAGCCAACTTGCCCTCCAGGTCTTTGTTTAGATGCCACTTCCTCTAAGGCTATCCCTTGACCGTGTCCTCCCACCACCCCTAGAATGGATCCTGGACAGCTGTCGGGATGCCTGGCTCTCGCCCCTGTTGGAGCACAGGTACCTTTCATGGAAATTGCTGCTTACTTGTCTCTCTGTCTCTAGGCCTTGGATTATAAAGAAAATTTCATTATCAGAACAGTCTATAGGCATTTTTAAACAGATAAGGTACAGTGAACATAAAGTTTAATCATGCTCACTCATAATTAACTAATTACCCTGGTCTTAAATCAGTCTCAATTGCAACGACCATGAAGGCAGTGGGTGAGGGGTGCAGTGAGCCCTAACCCCGAGAAACCCTCATTGCTTATTTTCATGTAAGATCACTGGGGAAACCCTGAGGACTCTGCTTAAAGAAGTAGCTATTTTAAATCTGTCCTACCCGGGCAGGTATCAACCGCCAATTTCTTACATTTAGGAATTTTACAACCATTTACCTTCTCTTCTTACATATAAAGTTATCCACATATATATGAATGAGAAAAATGTCAAGAGAATACTATTAGTTTAAAATAATAAATTGGGGCCAGGTGCCATGGCTCACGCCTGTAATCCTAGCACTTGGGAGGCTGAGGCAGGTAGACTGAGCCAGAACGTGACCCTGTCTCTAAAAGATAGCCAGGCGTTGTGTTGGGCACCTATAGTCCCAGCTACTTGGGAGGCAAAAGAATCACTTGAACCCAAGAGCTGAAGGTTGCTGTGAGCTGTGATGCCACAGCCACTCTACAGAGGGTGACATAGTGAGACTCTATCTCAAAAAAAAAGATAAATTGTTAAGCATAAATAAAAAATGTAGGGCATTGCTTTTATTCATGGGCATATGCCCACCATTTGCTTCTCAGACAAGAGTGAAAAAATCTAAAACCGGTAAAGGTGGCAAAAGGGAAGATAGCAGCTTGGAGGGGAAATCTGGAAGGCTCTCTTACTTGTACTGTTGGTGATCCTTGGTGCTTCTTGTTTTTGCCATGAACCTTTCTGCTAACTTCTCTAGGTTCCGAGAATATTCCGTCTCAATTTCAGCTTTTTTCCGGAAGAAATCTTGCAGGTCCTGGAGGAGCTGAACGCGCATCTCCGTTTGCTGTTCCAGGCATTTTTGTTGTTCTACAAGCTGAGCTCGAATTTCTAGGAGGAGAAGAGAACTCATGTGATGACTCCATGACAATTAGTGCGTTTTACTAGTATGCGCAAGAGCTAAGTCATGAACCCTATTGCACATTTAGTTCTGTGCTGGACCTTGAGAGGAGGCCGTGTACAGGTTAGTTCTTTAAATAAGATATCTGCTCACCCTTTAATAGAACAAGACAAACCTCAGGAAAGAATGTAATAGTCAGAATGGAAATAGGGGTTACGTTTGTAATGCCACAAACACTTGTGGAGTCATGAGGAGAAGAAATTAAAGCCTTTCAGAGAAAGCCATAACTTGTGACATCTTTGGGTTGCTGGGAATCCCGTAATTTTTTCAGCAGCATTTTACCTCAACTATCCTTTTTGAGTCTGAATGGCAAAGAAATGGGTATCATTTCTTCTAAACTCCAAACCACTACACATTTGCCAGTTGGCACCTACAGAGACTGACATCTGATGATTTTTATTTAAGTGCGTAAATTTCTAGTTTGTAAAACACATAGCTTCAGGCTTCCTGGGACGCCAAGCCTAAGCGTAACTTCTTCCTACATCCAGTAGTCTGTTCCTAAGAGGGCAATTTCCAGGGTCCACTTTATTATTCTGTTCTCAACGGCAAGGCCCCTTCACTTGGCCTTCACTTTTTATGTATTATTCAAACGAATACCCTTATCAGCGCATGTAATCCCGGAGGAACCCTTTCACAATTTTAATGCATTAGGAACACAAAGGTTAATCATTTGGTGATTTAGCAAGAGCAGGAAAACAAAAATGTGGGCTGCAAAAATATCTGTAAACGACTGTAACAAAGAAAAATGTGTGTTTTGGAAAACTAGATACAGTAACTAATAACTACTGACTTGTTTTTTTTTTCCCCAAGAATTAGGGGCAACCTCCAAAGATAAGAATATCATGCTGGAAAATTTCTGAATTTCATCTTCCCCAGTGTTGATGGGGGTTGAATCTAATTCAGTATAGAGTTAATAGAATAAAAGTGCAAATAACACCTCTTTGATTTCTTCCTATTGTTCCTCTTTGATAGAGAAGGACTTCACTGGCATTGTAGGATGCACGAGCTTGGCCATGTTTATTTAACCTAGTTCATTAATATCAGGGCAGTCACGGTTTAAGTGGGAAGTCAGGAAATCTGCTCAATTTAATAATAGCTAAAATTAATCCATTCAGGGTATGAGTCTGTACCCTAAAGAAGTAAGTAATGGTATTATCCCCCATTTTACAAAGAATAAATTGAAGTTCAAAAAGATTAAATACTTAAGGTCTTCAGGTGTTAAGCGGTACCTCGGAGACCTCCAACCCAGAACTCCCACACACTTCCCATATCTCCTGGCCTATACTGTGCTGAGCCCATATTCTGGCAAAAAGACACAATAGCTAATG